CAAAAAACATATTACACTTTTTATATTGTTATTGTTAAAGTTTTTAAATATGTATAAAGCTTTGACTTTTAATCTTTTTATTTGTCTCTAAAGTAGTACTTCATTTGTGTTTTCTAGCAAATCTAATAATCTTTTGTTAAATCTGTTTCTTGTATAAAGCAAGAAGTAGTTATTAGTATCTATTAATATTCTTACTAGTAGTTCATTTATGAAAAGCTAATACCAAATCTCTTTTATTTTCTTTTTGTTATAAGTATTTATTTTAAACTTTACTTTTGTTTTTGTTTTGTCAAAAGTACTTTTAATCATCTTTATATATTCTACTCTTCCTAAAAAATAAACTATTTTAAATATCTGTATTCTTTTTGCTCAGATTAATAAGTCCTAAACTATTATCTTATTGTTATTTTTAGATAGATTCAGATTATTGTTTATTTGATATATTTTAACTTCTTTTTTTCTTAAATAATCTTGTTTATGAATATTAATCTTCTTCTTCTTTTTTTTTCTTATAAAGACTTCTTTGAGTTCTTTTTCTATTTGTTCATCTTTTTTATTGTATTTTTTGAGCTAAGTTCTTATTATCTTAGTTTTTTGCTATTTCATTAACTTTTTTTGATCCTTGTTATTCTCTAGATATAAATTTACTTGTTTATATTCTTCTTTCTTATTTTCTAGCTTTTTCTTTGTCTCTTCGTAGTCTTTAATATATTTGAAAATCACTATGTACTATAGATTTCTATGTTTAAATTTTTTTGTAATTTTTTTTAAGTAATTATTTCTTTCTATTAACTATCTTCATAATCTTTCTTTGTGTTTCTTATTATTTCTAAGAACTTTAATAGCTACAACTTTAGCTTTTAATATTTCTTTTATTTTACATCTATTTTAATTTAGTACACAAATATTTTTTTCTAGTAATAAGTCTGTATCTGCAAAGAGTAAATTATCTTCTGACTCTTTTATAGTAATATATTGTTATTTTAGGTTTTTTGTACTGCTTTCTTCTTCTTTAGTTTTTTGAACTTCTTCTATCTGATTCAACTCTTCTTCAATTTTCCTATCTGCTAATAGTTAGTTACTTTTTACTTCTATTTTTAGATATGTTATATTACTAATTATACTACTTGTATCTAATTAGTATATCATTTCTATATTTGATTTGCTTTTTGGTACTTTTAGTTTATCATTTATCACTACTATATGATTAACTTTCTGCTCTAATATACTCTTTACTTTGTTAATTCTCTCTTCATTACTACTCTTTCTATTACTTTTCTCTATTCTCTAACTACTATTACTATATTACTATTTATTTCTAGTATCTTTGCTATCATTTTATCTATATGATCTTTTAGACCTATTACTAATCTGCTACTTTCTGCTATTATTTTATTATCATATTCTTTAATTACTACTCCTACTAGTTTAATTGCTTTTTTTCTGTTTTACATATCTGCTTATTCTAGTTTATAGTTACTACTATCTATACTATCTGCTTTGTCTATTGTTTACTTTTCTTAATTTAATCTTTTAAATATTATTTTTAAAAATAACTTTATTTTTTTTTGCAATTTCCTATGAGTTTGTCTAATTTATCTAAAAACTGTCTAGTTTTAATCTAATATGATTTGTTTCTACTATTTGATATGTAATACATAATTTTAATAATATATTTGTTTGTTTACTTATTTTATATGTATTTGTATTATATATACTAATCTGCAATTTAGTATGTTTTGAATTCCCTAGTTTTATTCAAAAAAAATTTTCTTTCATAATAAATTTTTTCTAAACTTTTTTCAAGTTTCTTTTTTAATTAAAATTTTTTTACTTTTCTATTTTTCTAAATATATTTTTTTTTCTTGAATCTTTTTTCTTAGTATGCTAAAATATATTATTTAATAAGTTTAATATTTTTTCTATATGATAACTTTTAGCTTAATTTTGTAACCAAATGATCTACAAGAAAAGTATTTGTTTAATAAATATGTAAATTTTTTTTATATAATAAATAATTCTTTAAAAAAATAAAAAAATCTAATATCTTAAAATTTTATTTAAGAAACCACTTTTAAAATTTTAATAAAAAAAATTTCTTACTAAATTTTGCATATACTAATATCTAAATAAAATTCTAAATTTTACTCTAACTTTAAATAAATAATTTTTTTTTTTTTTCTTATAAAAAATTATTTTTTTATAAAAAAAATTAAATTCGTATTTCAATTTTTTTTTTTAAAAAAAATTTAACCAACTTTAAACTTTTTTTAAATATAATCAAAAATAAGTATAATTTATTTTTTATAAATATATTATATAAATATAAAATATTAAATATATTTATTAAATTATAAGTTAATATATAAAAATTAAATTATTATATTTTAATTCAAATCTATTAAATTAGTATATCATGCTTAATAAAATTACCAATAATTAGCTTTGATTTAGTATAAGTTCTACATTGTCTTACTACATTAAGTTGAAATTCCAACATTTTATTTGTAAAAAGAATACAGTATATAAACGCCAGGCCTTTAAATAAAAAAAAAACAATATGGCTATTACACAAAATTTTACTAAATTAAGCAGAAGTAATACAGTATCAGATAACGGATTTGATAGAAATCAATGGAAATGTTTAGTTTTGTCCAGAAGTTTCCAGCAATACGTAATGATAGACAATAGTTTCCATAATTATCATTCAGAAGTAGTAAAAACAGGAAAATAAATATGAGTTACATACGTACGTAACCTACCTATAATCAAAAGGTTATAAGTAGTTTACTAAGAAAAAAAAAGGACTTTTCAGTTGTAGATTAATAAATAAATCTAGAGCATTTTTACATATATATATATATAAAAAAAAAAAAAAATGGTTAAAGACGCAAAACTTTACGACATTCTGGAGGTTTCTCCAAATGCTGATGACAATGAAATAAAAAAAGCCTATAGGAAGATGGCTCTCAAGTATCATCCTGATAAGGTATATATAATTATTTGTTTGATTGTCAACATATGAATCCTTGTCGAGATGTAAAGCATAGGGCTCGAAGTGCGCTTTTATGGATCAAAAATCGTAGATGCTGTTATATATCTCAAAATTTTCGAAAGTCTCAGGAACCGATTCAAGCTTATAATTAAAGATTGATGCCTGAAAGAATTTTTTTTTTAAAAAAAAAAGAAAAAATCTGGCGAAATAACTTCTTTTAATCTAAATAATTTACAAGTAGAATTGACTAAAATTTATCACAATTTCTTTAGAATCCAGATGGTGATGCAAAATTTAAAGAAATTGCGCACGCATTTGAAATTCTTTCTGATCCTCAAAAACGTGATTTATACGACAAATATGGTGAAGAAGGTCTATCAGGCGATGGAGGAATGCATATGTCACCCGAAGATCTGTTTGCAAGTTTCTTCGGTGGATTTTCTCGTCAACGACCAGGTCCACGTAAAGGAAAAAATTTGAAGCATGTGCTTAAAGTTTCTCTGGAGGACTTATATAATGGAAAACAAACCAAATTATCTCTTAACAAGAATGTCATTTGTAAAACATGTGAAGGTAGAGGCGGGAAGGAAGGCTCAGTTAAGAAGTGCACAGGATGTGATGGTTCTGGTTTCAAAGTCCATCTACGAGCTCTAGGTCCCATGGTACAACAGATCCAACAGCCTTGTGGTGAATGTGGAGGTCATGGAGAGATTATCAAAGAAAAGGATCGATGTAAGACATGTCATGGTAAAAAAGTAATTAATGAGCGTAAAGTACTAGAAGTTTATATTGAGAAAGGTATGAAAAATGGTCAAGACATACCCTTTTATGGAGAAGCCGATCAATCCCCTGGAGTTGAGCCTGGTGATGTTATTATCTCTTTGGAAGAAAAGAAACACGATCGTTTTGTAAGAAAGGGCGATGATCTATTTTATACGGCCAAGATTTCTCTACTGACAGCATTAGCTGGCGGAAATTTCTATATCGAACATCTTGATAATCGAGTTCTCGATGTTAAAGTGGCGCCGTTTGAATCTATCAGACCAAGTATGTACATAATAATTTGTATTTATATTATGTCCAGACGACTGATCATTCCAATTTAATTATAGACGAAATTAAAGCAATTCCTGGGCAAGGCATGCCGTCGCATCGTCATCATAATAAGGGTACTTTGTATCTCAAATTCGACATTGAATTTCCACCTCGTTATTGGACAAATGATCCCTCAAAATTGGAAGCCCTAACAAATATTCTCCCCTCACCCGCAAAGACTTCTCTTCCAAAACATGATCTTGTTGAACAAGTTGACTTATCGGATCTTGACAGTATTCAACAACGAGATGCAGAGAATCTTATGAGTAATCAACAAGATGAAGACGATGAAGGTCATGGTCCGAATGTTCAATGTGCTCAACAGTAGTGATCCTAGCCGATAAATAAATAAAAAATCGACTAAGCCGATTTTCGACCTGGTTTGTCGATTTTTTTCAAAATCGGCTAGTCAATTTTATCTGTAAAGAACAAACGCACTATGCAATATATAAATAAGTTACTATAGTTATAAACTCTCGATAAGGGAAGTACTAATTAAACTTTCGATATAGTAAAGTTAGGCTCAAATCGATCTATATAAAATTCTCTCGATATAGTGGATTTACCCGTTATAGTAAAATTTTTATTAATAATTGTAATAAATAGTAAAATATTTCTTCTATACGGAATTCTGTGTTTTGTAATTTTTTTTTTTTTTTTTTTTTTTTTTTTTTGAGCTAAAGCTTGTAGTTTTTATACAATATTAATTACTTGATTTTTTTTTAATTTATCTATTGATTAATATAGCTAATACTTGTTACCGTTACGTATTTTTATTGATTAGCTAAAAAAAAATATCGTTATGCAGTATAGTAAATATAAATCGACCAATCAGATTAATTGATAATTTATATATAAAAAAAGAATTTTATTTAATTATTGTGTAAATATATTGTAAATATATATAAAGTGTTTTTAATTAAAAAAACTTTATACGTTATAGTATACAAAAAATAAGTTTTGTAATCAATATAAAAATTTTATAAAAAAAGTTTTTTTTTTTTGAATTTAAAATAGTTTTTTTATAACAAATTATAAGTATACAACTAGCTATATATTATTAAATCTTTTAATACTGATTTTGTCAAAACTGATAATTTGTTAAAACTAATTCTGATTTTATTTTTTATTTTTTTTTTAATGTTAAGGTGAGGTTTTGTCTTTATCTTTATTAAAATTTGTATAAGATTCCACAAAAGGTTTCTTAAAAATACAAATTTGCTTACAAGAATTAAGATTCAGACTATAAATAGTAGACTATCTAATTTATCTGCAACTTAAACCTACTAGAGTAGTTAAAAACTCATCTAGATTTGAATGTTTATAATAGAGTTAGATAGATAACTATATTTGGTTTATAAAGTAGACTAAATATCAATTTTGTGTCGAGCTAGTTCAAGAGAAGGGCATAGATTATTATTGTTATGTAGTTGATCAGGTTGGTCATATAAACATATATATGTATAGCCTATTTTGAAATGACTTGAACATGGTAGTTGTTGTAAGTAAGTAGTTTTTTAGACTTAGTTAGGAATGTTATTTGTAGTTTTTCATTTAGCTAGTTTAACGCAATAAGGCTTCCAAATTTGCTTATAAATATTATTAGTTAGTTTTAGGAAGAATTGAGTACTGAGTTTTGAAGCTGTTTTGTATGTATCAGTATAAGTAGCAAGTAGTTCAATAAAAGAAAAGGTATAAATCCTTGAAGAGTAGTTTCAATTGTTGGAGTATTTTGAAAAGGTAATTGATGTTGAAGAGATGGGTAAGTAGTTAGTTGGTAGTGTAGTTCTTGAATTGTTTGAGTAGAGAGGTTAAGTAATACTTCTGTAAAAAAGTTTTGGACTATTTGAAGTATTAGAGTATGTATGAATTGATTATTAGAACAAAAAAGCCAGTGTTGAGAGTTTTCCTGTTTATTGCAAGAGATACAATTATTATGTTTAAAGATATTTGAATAGAGTTAATGGAGATGTGATAATGTTGGGAGTTCATTTAACAAGTTTTTGATTTGAAAAGATTTTTAATAACTAAGTTGAAGAGTAGTGAAGTTGTATAATCGTTTTTGATTATTATTAAGAAACAGCTATGTTGTATTTTAGTCAATATATTGAAATAGATGTGAAATATTTTGCATACGCCTTTGAGAAGACCACAAGACTATAATATATGAGTTGCAAATATTTTTGATTAGTTTTTATATAGGTTGTTCAACAGGAAAGTTTTTAAACTGTAATATGTAGTAGGAGTTGTAAAGATTAGTATGATTAAATTGTAGAAGAGGTAATAATGAATAGTGTTTAGCTAGATAATCAGCATTATCATTATATAAGTTATTACTATATACTTGTATTTTGTAAAGTTCAATACTAAAATTAAAAGATTTAATATAGTTAAGTAAAGTGACTCAAAAAGGCCAGTATTGTAATGAAGGGATTTTGGATGCAATAAGTGGTTTTTTTGTGAGTTTGTTATATTTAAGAATAACAGATAAAGAGTCTGTATAAATTTGAATTTGGCTATTGCAAAAACAAATGCTTATAGCTGATAGAATTGAAACTAGTTCAGCTTTATAAGAGGAAGGCTAAAGTTGAATTTGTGCAGAAAATTTGTGAAGTATTTGGTTATTACAAACTTGAATCCATCTAATACTTATAGAGTAATGGTTAGTACAAATATCAATAACTGATCTATTAGTATAAAAAACAAATTAGTATTGATTATAGTTTGTTTAGTAAATTGCTTCAAGTTGTTGAGTAGCTTTATTAGAGTTAAATATTGTAGTAATTAAAGATTAAAAGTCAAAGCTTTATACATATTTAAAAACTTTAACAATAACAATATAAAAAGTGTAATATGTTTTTTG